ATTGATTTCATCCAGTCGAATTTATATTTAATAACAAATATTTATTTATTTTTTTAAAAGAAATTTTATTTAAATTTAAATGTTAAATGTATAATATTAATATAATTTGTTTTTCTAATTCGTGTCTATTTTTTCATAGTTCAAATTTTGATTAAAAAATAATTTTTTGTGTGTGTTAGAACAATTTAAATTGAATTATTATTATTATTATTATTATTATTTGTTCAAAAAGAACATTTTTCATTTACTCAAGATACATGTTCTCTTATCTGGTAAGAATTATTGAGTACCAACCTGACCATAAAGATTTTTTATCTCACTTGAAGATAATATTCCATCAATCTTAAATTATGTCTAAATTATAGAAATGTTGAATTAGGTGTTTTCCATATTATAAAAACGACAAATGTTTTGTAGGATAAGAATGTCCATTGAATAGCTTTCTATAATAAAAAAATATTATTCTTTTTAAAAAATTTGAATTTGAGTAGTTACATTTACGTAATGTATGTCTAAATCTTATATATAACAAATGGTTGTCCCTTTTTCCCATATATATGGGGTAAGGGGTGGGTAAGATAGTAGGCTACCCCCAACACCAGGTTGAGAGCAGCTTCCGTAAGCGACCTCCGAATTATGAAATGCCCTTCGTGAGACTCGATCCCACGACCTCAAGGTTAAGAACCTTGTGCTTTACTAACTGAGCTGGATGGTCATTTCATCTTATATATAACAAAATCTCTAAATATATACAATTTTATAATTACCCCATAGTATTAAAAAAATGTCAAATGAAAATTTCAATTAAAAAATAAAACTTTTACCTTTTAAGTTTTCCCCTTATGAGATTGATTACGTTAACATTTAGTCAAGTAGTTGTCACTCATATTTCATCATAACTTTTGATGTACTCTCTTTTATTTTTATTTTTACTTTTTTCATCTTTTTGATTTTGTTTACATATTTAGAATTTTGTTATTTTAGTAAGTCTTCTTTTTTCTAATGAAAATCATGTCTTTTTTTATGATTTAGTAGTACATTTTTCTTGTTTTAAGATTGAATTTGACATCATTTCTTCGAAACATTTATTTGGTTAGTTTGTTGATATACCAACTACAGTTGATATGGATCATTTAGTTGGCTATCTCATATGAATAGGTGCTCACAATCACCTCAAATAGATCTTGCTTAAGTTATGATAAAAATGGTTGTCTACATGGCGTCATTGTTACATTTTTTATGTTAGTGTTGATAATTTTATCTTATACCGTTGATAGGGGTGTACAAATCCAATTACCCGGATTTTCAGATACCCGATTACCGGGTACCCGTAACATCTGGGTTGGTGATTTCTCCGCCCGTGTCCCGACCCAGATGTTGCGGGTACCCAATTTTTTTTCTTTTTTTTTCATTTTTAAATTATTAATTTTAAAAAATATATACACAAATTTAAATGTTCGAAACTTTGAATGACATACTTCAACATCTGAACATAAAATTTAAAAGTTCGAAATACAAAATATAATAATTCATAATATAAATAATTCATTATATTATATATATATATATATAAATAAATAAAAACTAACCGGGTACCGGGAAAAACACAATTTTGTGACCTGGGCCCAACCCAGTCGGGTAATTTTTTTAGAAAATTACCCGGTTTTTTAAGTTCGTGTCGACGGGTCGGGTATTTTTGTACACCCCTAACTGTTGATAATGATGTTTATTTGTATCTTTTAATTATTTTAGTTTTTTAAATCATTTTCTTAAATGATCGTGTTGTTATTGTTTAGTGGTTAGCCTATATATTTGTACGATTTTAGAAAAATTATTAGTTAATAGGATTATTTTACTTTAATTTTTATAGGTTTTTTAAGATTATAATTTATTTATTATATAAAATTAATTGTTCTTATTAATTATAAATTAATAAAATTAATTTTTTTTTATAAAATTGAAAGAGTAATAAAATGTCATCAATTGTTACTTAACCTAAATGTTAGTATTGCATAATTTTCAATAAATCATACTTTTTTATAAAATAAAATTATTAAAACAAATGTTAATTTGACGTTTTTCTAATACATATCGTGCTAATAGATAAATTCTATATGAGTTAATTGCATTATATGTCTTCAAATTATAACTCTCATTTTAAATTTATCTTTAAACTTTTAAATATTTTAATTTCATCCCTAAACTATGACTCTCATTTTGAATTAGTCCTTACACTTTTAAATATTCTAATTTCATACCTGAACTATGACTTTCTTTCTAAATTGGTCACCAAACTTTTGAATCTTCAGGTTTCATTCCCAAATCCATCCAAATATATAATTAGCTTCAACCATAGTTTAACCTAAGTTTTATTTTTTTTTTCAAACATATAATAATATAACTTGACTAACGATTTTATTAACAAGAGATGTGATTAGTATATACGTATAGTTTGGGATAAAATTGGAATGTTCAAAAAGTTTGGGATCAATTTAGAATGGCCATAGTTTGGGGATGAAATTGAAATGTTCAAAAGTTTGAGAATTAATTTATAATGATAGTAATAGTTTAGGGATCAATTTGAAACATTTAAAAGTTTAGGGACCAATTTAAAATTAAAGTCATACTTTGAGAACATGTGATGTAATTAACTCATTCTATATATACATTTGAAACAACATTATACATATACGGTTAATTAATGATGCATAAAATTATACCTATAGCCTTAATACAAACACTTTTTTGTGTGATTTTTGAAGTGTTGGACCAATAATTGGATATTATTAATCCTTATTTTAAAGTAAAATTGTATAATTGTATTACAATTATCGTATTTGTCCTTAACTGAGGAGAGGGGTATTTAAATAAAAATAATAAAAATGTAAAAGAGTAATTTTTACCTTTACAGTAGACTCAATTTATCTTTTTTTCGCTCATATCATATTTTTGCATCAATTTAACCCTCGAAGTTATTCAATTGCATCATTCTATATCATACCCTAACTTAAAATCCTAAATTGAGGGTTTTAAGTCAGGGTTTAAGATTTAGGTTTTAGGGTTATTAATTTAGGATTTTTAAGTTAGAAGTAGGATATAGAATGATGTAATTAAACAATTTCAAAGGTTAAATTGATGTAAAAATACGATATGAATAAAATTGATAAATTATATCTACTACAAAGATAAAAATAAATGTGAACGTTAAGCCTAAAAAAAATTATCAAAAGACCAACATCCTCCTTGTATGTCACGTTCTTCAAAATCTCACGAGCATCCGCTCACCGCCATTTTTTAACCATATAGAATAAGAAAATAATACTATTCTTTAAAAACATAAACGTATAAATCAACTTCAAAAAATTTTGAATTAAAATATGCATTTCTCACTCATAGTATTAATATTATTTTTTCCATAAATTTGTTTTTTTTAGTTTAATTATATTATCTTTGAATAAATTTATTGTAAATTGAAGGTGTTTGACCAAATGTAACAAAATTTATGTCCCCAAACATTGTATATATTAAACGCTAAATCAAAGCAAGCAAATCAATATAATCTTTTTTCTATTGTCGTCAATATTTCGATTTATACGTCAATCATATTAATCTTGATTAAGTGCTACATAGGTGTATTATGAGAGAGATCCTCTTAATTCAATTTGTTTCATTCACAACATCAGGATTAGAATCCTTAATCGTACTTAAAGAATATAGTATCTCATCACATTAAATCAACTTAATTTTTTTGTTTCAGATTTGCCGTTCGAACTTATAAGATACAAAATGATTTTTTGGACAATTCTACTATATACATAATATATACATGCTTACAAAGGAAAATGCACATTATGACTTTAGGGTATTCATATAACTTCACTTAATTTTTTATGCTTCACTGCTTACAAAAACAGATTATGACTTTATGCTTACAAAATATATATGTAATGTGCATTATGACTTTATAAGCATAAAGATAATATCATATAACTTCACTGCTTCATAAAGAAAATAGAAATGCTAACCTTCTCTTTAATTTTATTTTACCCTCGGGAAAGTAATAAAATTTTAAGGGATAAAAACAGATTATCAATTTAAAAATATAAAAAATATCTAATTTAAAATTTTCAAATGACGGTTACTTCACTCATCTCTTTTGATCTATTCTTGTCTATGGTAATTATGGCGGAAATATCTAAAATATATCTGATTTAAAATTTTCAAATAACTTTACTTCCTCTTTTATGCACATTATGACTTTAGGGTATTTATGATGGAAATTTAAATCGAGAAAGACACAACATCAGTCGCACTTTTCATCTGTTTCTCAGTTTAAAATTTGAACTTTCGAAAAATACTAACTGATAAATGCATTTTATTTTTTTTAATTCAGAAAAATGTGTTACATTAATCAAATATTTAGTTAATTAATAATATTTAATCTTATTGACCGAACGTGTCATATAGAATAAAAAAATATTTTTTGAGTCACACTTTTAAACATACAAATCACAATTCATTCTAAGTGATGACAATATATTTCACTCACTGTATTTTAAATCTTTTCAATTTCCTCATTGAACTTGATTCATTAGGTTTTTGGTCACTTAGCCTTTTTCTTACTAACATAGTTATAAACGAACTGTTATATAGATGCAAAACGATGTCATTTTGGTGAATTTTTTTAATAGTGTCGTTTTAACGCCGTTAATTATTTAAAGGCCGAGTAACAGAAAAACTCAATGTATTAAGTTTAGTGAGAAAATTAAACTTTTAAAATTTAACGAATAAATAGGAGAGAAAGTAAAGTTCACTGATAAAATTTATAATTTACCCAAACTTTAAAGGGCCGGAGATACTGGGGAAAACCCAAACTGGAAAAGGAAAAGTCTTTTGTATTTCATTCTTTTCATTTCATTTTTGGTAATTTTTATTTCTGATTTTCTTTTTGGTTCAATAATTTTCTGTTAATTAATTAATTTAATCAAACAATGAAAATGGCACATTGCCAATCATCCTTTCCCCTGTATAGGAAACACCATCATTGCTCCCAACAATCTTTTTCGACCTTAGAAATCTAAGATATTCTCTCCCTTCCATTTTGCCTTTTCCTTTCAATTTCTTCTTCATCATCATCATGAATTCATCATCTCCAGTTATATAAACCCTTTTCTTCTCTACAAACCCCATTTTTCCAATGGATCCATCTTCAACAAGCTCCGTCAATGGATTCTACACTTTCCTCACCCGTGGCTTAGATGATCTCGAACGAGTTTATCTCTCTAATAACTTCATGTCAATCCAATTCCTTCAAAGGGTCCTTTCCCTTCTCAGATCTTTCCATTCCCAGCTACTTATACTTGTTCAAAAACTTCATCTCCCCGCTGGTGATAAGTGGCTTGATGAATTCATGGATGAAAGTTCCAAGCTTTGGGAAGCTTGTCATGTTCTTAAAACAGGGCTTTCCAGGATGGAAACTTATTACTCTTCTGGTTTCAACATAATTTCTTCTCTTGATCATAGACATCTTAATCCCCAGCTTTCCATACAGGTAACTAGTTGGAATTATTAAAGCTTATTCCCCTTTTTGTTTATAATTTCATTGAAGTTCATGGTCTGGAAACAGGTTATCAGGGCGATTTCGAGGTGCAGGAGAGAAGCTATGGGACTGGAGGAAGAAAACAGGGCGTTCATGGAAACGAGAATCCAACCACTCTCGTTGAAGTTGGAGGAGAAAGTTTCGATGGAATCGAAGCTGAATGGGTTCAATGGTTTCAGAGGAGTTCTATACGCAATGAGGAATGTGAGCTCATTGCTTCTGATGATGTTGCTCTACGGGTTGGTCCATTGTTGGCAAGAGTCGAGCTTTTCAAGAGGCGGAAGCGAAGGGCGTTTGTTTTTCGGATCGAGTTTGATGATATCGACGGCGAGGTTTCAGCAGAGGGTGGCGGGTGAGATAAACCAGATGAAGGGGAAAGGTGGTAGGATATTGATGTATGAGTATAGAAGATCAAAGATGGCAATGGAGGAGGTGAGAGGGGAACTGGAGAGGAGAATTGGTGATGGCCAAGTGGTGGTGGAGTGGGAAACAGAGGTGGGGTTGAGGGAGAAAGTTGAGAACTTGAAAGGGTGTTTTGGGGTATTGAGATCTGGGGTTGACAATATTGTAGCCCAACTTGATGATTTCTTTGATGAGATCGTTGAAGGGAGGAAGACGCTTTTGGACTTTTGCAGTAACAGATAGATGGGGTATATATATATATATATATATATATATATTAAATTAAAATTCATATGTCGAAGGAATTAGTTGTTGGCTGGGGGTGTATTTTTTTAAAAAAAATTACTTTCATGCATTTATTGTTTTACCATGCATATAACATATATATGATATATGCAAAGGGACCAAAACAGAGTAATTTGGGCTTCAAAAATCAGTTTAAGACCAAAATGAACTATAGGAGTAATTTTTCATGCAGAGCTTCCTATGATGTTGTTTTTGCATACCCTACGTTCTAACTTGTAAAATATGAATCCCTTACCAGTTGACCGAGTTGGCATGGTTGTATTGGATTAAGAGTAAAAGGTTGCTTTTGGTAATTGAATTATAAGAGAACATATTCTTTATGTATTTTATATTAGGAAAAGGAATGTAGGAGAATGGTAAGAGTAGTAGTTAAAGTAAATGACAAAATGGTATGTTGTAGTGGTAAAAGGTACAGTTAGGTTAGCTTAGGCTATGATATGGTAGGGGATTGTCAGATTCCTCCATAGCTGGAACAGGTTTTGATGTTTAGGGAAGCTTTATGATGTCTGATTCTTGAAAGCAATGCCCAGTTGCCACTTCCTTTTAATGATGAAAAAGCTTGTGACAAAAACATCCGTCCCCTTCTCATCCTCTTCCTTTTTGTTTTAGTTTTTATTCTGTTGCCAATTTGTTTGTTTCTGGGGAAATTTTAAAACTGAAAAAATGGGCCACTTTCTCTCTCAACACGCATGTTCAACTGAATCTCATGCTTTTTGTCCCTTCCAAGGGTGTTTTCCTTGATCAAAACTGCTAACACGCGCACAAAACAACAACCAGATTCAAGGCATAAAATAATATTTGATCAATACATGGCAGACATAAAATAAAACCAAAACAAAATCGTTCTTTTTATCTTATGTTAAACTGAGTTCACAATCACGCCGAGCCACCCACCCAAATCATGTCTTCTTCATTATTTCTACTTTCCCTTTATAACTATAGCTTTTCAGCCTTTGTTTCCTCTTCACTATAATTAGACATTAACACAAATAATTTAAGAAGAAAAAAACATATGATTCTTCTTATAACAGCAGCAACTATTTTGCAAATAACACAGATTTTAGTATTTTAAATAATACATCTGTCACTGAACACCTGTTTAACACTTTTTTAAACACTACAAATACCAAATGTGGAGACAAGTCTGACTGAACTTCATGCTGCATATAAATATTATTACAATATTTTAAAAGAGATGTCTCTTTAATAACTTTTTACAGAATGTTAATGTTTCTTTTTCTTTTTTGTAAGCATATGCAGAACTGTTTGACCTGGTTTATTTATTTTACACACATGTTCAATGGGGAAAAACATGGATGTGTAAAAATAAATTTTGATTACCGATAAAAGGTGAGGAAACACCATCTTATAAATCTTCAAGAATCAAATCCAGGCATTGCAAACTGGGCGGAAAATGCCTCAACACGAATCCGGAGATCGATGACATCTTTATTATTGTGAAGGCCCTTGAGAAACTCTTTCTGAAATTTTCCATGATCCCTCTGCACGGAACTCGTGATTTCAGCTGCTGTGTAGAGGAAGTCGGCGATTGTCTCGAAATCAGACTCTAAACAACCTCTTGATGTCATAGCAGGTGTACCTGAGAGAAATAGGAAATTAAGCGTTTCGGTGACAATAAAATAAAAGAATATAGTCAGTGGACCACTATAAATGAACTAAATTCATGGGGCTAAATAAAAGAATAAAACATTTATATTTAATACGTAGGCATCAACACAAAGTCATGATCATACGAGTCTAAAAGATGTCAGTCCCCAATAAAAACATTCTAGTTAGCAAGACAATAAGCAGGAGCCATAAACAGAATATCTGTTCTCTTAAGTTTTAACACCTATGAGTATTCAAACCACCTCCGTAGTTAAGATATCACTCTAACTTATGAATTAGTCAATTCTAAATATGTTATTAGGGTGTATAGAACATGTTAGTGAATTTGAAAGAACTGGTTAATGACAGTCCAGCACATGGTTCATTTCACTGATATCATGTCAAAAAAATGCAGACAGACCACAAAAATGTGCTTTACCTATAACAGGAAATGAGGCAGAATGTATTGAGACCTATGAAGCTGTCAAAAAGAAATAGAAATTTCTTCAATACAAAACAAGATCACTGCTTACCAATTCTCACTCCTCCAGGAGAAATAGCACCATTGTCACCAAATATAGCAGTTTTATTCAAAGTGATGTGGCACATCTCACAAACTTTCTCATAGCATTTGCCTGGGAAACAAAATACAGAAGTTATTTATAGAAAGAGTGTAAGCATGCAAGTGTAAATGTGCAGCGAAGTGCATTATGCCTTTGAAAATTGAACATATAGGTTTATTATAATAATAATAATAATAATAAATTATAAAAATTAATCAAATAGGTTAAAGTGTATGGGCTGGTGAGACGTAGCAGAAGAACTAGCAAATATGGTCAACAAGCAATTGGCTCATTTTTCTATTTCTCTTGTCATTCTCATGAAAGCCGACAGTCTGTAAACTGAAGTATCGCCTCCTATTTTCACTAGTCAGATTCTTTAATCATAGTTAGTTATTGGCTTTCTTGATTTCCCCCCCCCCAAAAAGAATTAACTTACTATGCTCTTCAAATGGAGAACACTGACACACATTTTGTTATAAGATTTCCCCTTCTAAAACATAGCCATGAATAATGGAAAAAAAGAAGCCTAGAATAATAATGGTAATGAACTACAGTTAGGTCTTTCCAAGGGGTTTTTGATAAATTTCAGAATCGATGTCACATTTTGCATCAAGGGAAGGAGCCAGCCTAGTGAAAAGGGGGGAAAATAAGGTTAAGAAAGCCATTAAGAAGACTTGGATCACAATTTAGTCTCAAAGTGAAAATAAGCAATTTTAATATAATCAAATGAAATTACATGAAGGAATTACTTAATTCCAGCAAAAAAGAAAATTTAATATGTTAGCATATATTTGCTCCGCATGTTTGTGATATTGAGCAGACAAGATAGGAGAACCTGTTAAGCCCAGTGTAGTGAGATCCCACAGCAACAAGTGGTTATCAGTGCCCCCAGTAACCAACTTGCATTTTTTCCTCAGCAGAGCAGATGCCAAAGCCTGAGCATTTTTCTTCACCTGTTGCATATACGCTTTGAACTCTGGTGTAGCCACTTGCTTCAATGCTATTGCAAGAGCAGCAATGTGATTATTATGAGGTCCCCCTTGTAATGATGCATAAACAGCAAAATTTATCTTTTCCTCAAAATCAAGTGGGTCAGTACAATAACCATTACTGAGACACATGCCTTGTTTTCTTGATTTTGAACCCTTCCTATAAAAGATTATACCTCCCCTTGGGCCCCGTAGACTTTTGTGAGTTGTTGAAGTAACAATATCACAGAAGTCAAATGGACTGGCACATTCCTGTAATGGACAGGGGTGAACATGCTGGTAAGGAAAGCAAAACACAAAATTGCCTAGCATGAAAAAGCAAATGCTGAAAGATTCATCAACATGAAGAGCCATTATATGTCAAAGCTATTACATTATTTCAAGGATTAAGGAATATGGAATATATTTTAATTTTTTTCAGAGGTATGGCGGAACAGTTCGACCAGTACCTTGGCACACAATTCTAGCAGTTCAAGCATGAAACTACACAATTCTTCCTGTTATTTTGTACACAAATAACCCTGCCAAACTAGATTTAGGAACATCGAAAAGGAAATACACCTTGTAGAAAATCAACAGCCTATTACCTTGAATTTCACAAGTATCAGGGATCAGCTAGCAACAGCCAAGTATTCAAACGAGCAGTGCTCCCCTGAATGTATTCAGGGTAAGGCGGGGCAACTTGACACTATATCAAATTCATATTCTTTTCCATTACAATAAGAGTCAAAATATTAATTCTATCATTACCAGTCTTCCAAAAATCTCTTTTTTTCAGAAATAACTAGACTCATCCAACCAAAAGAGAAGAAAAAAAGGACAGAAACATCCATTTTCATGACTAAGAAGAAAGAAGGATGAGGTCAATCTACATTTACATAAACTCAATGCATATGTGTTTTACATATTAACAATTCTAATCAACTCAAAGTTGTTCAGGAAACGTAAAATATGAAAAAAATTAGAAGATCTATTATTATGGCTTCTAGTCAGACAGTTCATGATAATATATGATAAATCAGTCTTATCTCACACAACCTTTCAGATAGGTTTAACTTGGGATCAACTTCAATAAGTTACAAATGTTATTTAAGCAGACAAGTTCAAAGGCTGACATGATTTGTTCTTGCCAAGCCAAAAGCTTAAGCTAGATCTCAAAAGGGTAAGTTAATCTTTTCCCTTTTTCCCCCTTTCCATTCTTTATTAAATGTAAATGCAAGCATTCGTGTTTATGTTGAGTTAAGCTGCATAGGATTGAATGTTGTGGTGGCTTAATTGCAAGCATATTTGGTAGACAAACAGTAACATCACTAATCACGAAATTAGTTACCAACAGCAATGCTACCTGTAAGTTAATCTAAGTGATATTGAAGCAATTAACACTTTTTATAAGTAATTTAACTTGAGCCTATTACTATCCATAGGAACAAGAAACCTCACCTAAGGGAAAAACCTTTATATTAGAATCAAAACATCGAACCAATAACTAATTTAAATGAGACAATGTTCAAACCTTAGCTGCCACAAGACCACTAATATGAGCCATATCACACATCAACACGGCTCCACATCTATCAGCAATTTGCCTGAACCTTGCATAATCCCACTCCCTAGGATACGAACTGCCACCACAAATAAGAATCTTGGGCCGATAATCAAGCGCCTTTTCTTCAAGCTTATTATAATCAATGAACCCTGTTTGAAGATTCACCTTGTAAGGAAAACTATCAAAAAATATCGAAGCAGCAGATACTTTCTTCCCACTCGGCATATAACATCCATGGCTCATATGCCCTCCAGATGGCGAATCCAACCCCATGATTCGATCACCAGGCAATAAAAGTCCAGTATAAACAGCAAAATTCGCCGAAGTACATGAATAAGGC